CAGCTAGATCGAGGCCACAGTCATTCTGAAATTTTAAGTTTGTTCGAGGCTACTGAACACAATCTATGGGAATTTTTAAAGGAAATTTTAAATAAAATACTGTACTATAGATAAAAATATGCAGTGAAAATGTACTCACTAATTTTCTGTTGTCCTTATCCTCTTGTAAAGTATATGTGCAGCATGTAAATCATTTATCAGGTAAGAGGTTAAATATCAAACTTCAAAAGCAAAATTCCTTAAAAGGAAATGGAATTTTATACCCATTCATCAAATAATTCTAATGCTTATTTTATTACATTTTCTGCTAGTAATTACAGCAAGTGCTTTACCATGCACTAGCAAATGCACAGGGCTTATGGATATATTGTCATAACTATACTTTGCAATTTGTTAAATGAAGGAAATGCAAGAAAAATCCTCTAAACAGGAAATGTTTGCATTCAACCTACCCCAACAAACAGCTAACATGCAGCCACAGACCACAGCAACTATTTCATCTACATATTACACCCCGTGGTGTAGCCATCACCTCTACAATCCACCAAAATAGAATGCATCACATCTTGGCATGAGAGCGGAGAAATCTGTATAAACACAAAGTGCCCTAACTCAGCTTAGTACAGCAGCATAAACTGCTAAGAAGTTTTTTCTTTTCCCTATTTACCTTTAACCCTTTCAGTAGCCATCACAGAATTAAGTCATTGAGGCCAGGGTACCTTACATAGTTCTACACCATGAACTCAACTCGCTCAGATAAGCTGTGAGCAATAAATTTTGACCTAGATATGAGAGAATGAGTCAGTGCAGTAAGTGCACTGCACATAGTACAAAAATCCTGTGGCATGTAGTGCACACACAAAAAAAAAAAAAAAAAAAAAAGTAGATGGATTAAAATAGAAACCGAGGTGTTTTCTTGGATGGTTTTTATAGTTTTATTGGCTGTTTCTTCATATGATTGATATAATGAAAGACATACTACTGAAAGAAATAATTTTGATTGGCTTCAGGACCAGATGTAGCTTTATGGGTTTTTAATAGGTCCGAGTCAATAATTGATATACAATAAAAATACAGTAGAACCTCGGTTGTCATAATTAATTCGTTCCAGAAAGTCTGATGAAAAACGAAATGTACAAAAACTGAAGCAATATTTCCCATAAGAAATAATGTAAATCCAATTAATCCATTCCAGACACCCAAAAATATTAACAATAAATACATTTTATAGAGAATAACTATTGTTTTACACACAGAAAACAATGAGAAATATAAATGACTAATGAAATGAATAAATGAACATTTAACTTGACTTTTACCTTTACTGAAGAGGAGGAGAGGTTCTTGTTTGGAAGGGGAATCCCCATCCATTAGGACTTCAGGTATCAAGGCCCTATCTGGGGTTATTTCCCTTCTTTGTCTTTTACTGGCACTAGGACCAGCTCGAGTCAATGGACCCCTGTCGCACAAAAAATCTGTCCAGAGAGGTCTGTTTCTGGCATCTCTAAGATTTGCCTAAAACGGGACAAGGCACTCTCATTGAACATGTTTCAGACACGGCTTGTAACAACTCTGTTAGGGTGATATTTCTCCACAAAACTTTGCAATTTCCCCAAAGACACAACAGATTCCACAATAGGTATAGGGTCGTCAGGGTCAGCCTCAAACCCTTCAAAATCCTTCTTGAGGACACATTCTGGCCCATACATTGTGTGGGTGCGGGCAGGCGGACATGTTTGGTACGGCGGACCATTGTCAACTCAATGAAAACCGAATCCTACGAAAACCAGGGCATACAAAAACCAAGGTTCCACTGTAACCAATAATTCCTGGTTATATTTTATTATTCAAGAAATAAGAGCAGATCTTGTTTTTGTGTGATTAAGAATTCAAAGTGGAAGGCAAGTATAATATAAGAGACCTGGGGAGGTGGTAAATGAACAGAGGAAATATTTGTGCCAGGAATGCCCCACTGTTTATTTTGGACTTCCTAAATTTGCATTTTTAAATGTGTGTAAAACTGGCCTTCTTACCAAATTCTGTGCACTACTGGGTAGTTGAAATAGTTGAATGGGCAGTGTTTTGTGCTCAGTTCATAGAACAGCAGGCATACTAGCAAAATAGCTTAGGATTTGGTCAAATGAAGCAAGTGAATTGATTCAGCTTAACATAGGACCCAAAGCTAGAGAAATCTCCAATGCATAAATTATACCAAAACCGCTAACTTTGCACCTGTGTAATTTCATTTTTTTTTTTTTATAAAATTTCGTACTTTTGGTGTCATTACCTTCAGAAAAAGATTATCTACCATTTCAAATGAGAAAAAAAAAAAGTGAACACAGAGCAATGTTAATTTTGGGGGCCTGGACAGTGAAAGCATTAATGAAAAAAAGTAACAACCACACCAAACATTTGCCAATTCATGTCCCCTAGGCCTCTCTTATATTACAATTTGCTGTCCAGTTATAAAAAAAAAAAAAAAAAAGATTTACCCTTTTTCTTGAATAATAAAATACATATAACTAGGAATGATTGGTCATGTTTTACAGAGTCCCATTAACTGAATCAGACCTATTAAAAACCCACAAAACTGACCAGGGGTGTAGGGGGCCTTATCTGCCCAGAAAATTGGCAAAATTTAAGGTTTCACTACTTTGAGCAGCAGCCAGCTGACGGTGTGGACGTGCTTGTAGCACCGGCCGGCGAGTGAGCCGCGGCCTCAAGCCGCTCGGTGATTGGTCACTGCGTTGACCAATCAGAAGATGCCTCTCCCCGAGAGCACGAGAATATTTTAGACATCCCTACAATCCCTGTTGGGGAGGGGAACACTGCTTACTCACGATGCATTACTCGAACAGGGTAAAGATCAAACCTGTGAGTGGGACAGTCAATGACTCGTCCAAACTAGCCCTTGCAGCTACCATCAGTGGTACTCTGCGAGTCAGGGGCAATGCAATCCTCACTCGCAAGGAAGCATTTGTGGTCATCTGCTCAGACGACCTTGAGGTCGACAAACTAACCACCACCGAAGCTATCTCCACTCTCGACCAACGTGGATTCCAAGTCCTAACATCCCCAGCCCTGAAAGCCAAGAGAACTGTTTCTCAAGAAGCTCGACAAACTCATCACAACCCAAGAGATCTCTGAAACCAAATCATCAACTGAAGACCAAAACACCTGGGCCAAGATAGAATACATCACGAGAATTCCCAATGCTTCCTCCATGCTGAAGATCACCTTCAGCGAAGTCAGCATGGCAACCAGAGCTCTCAAGGAGGGCTTGGCCATCTTCTACTTCCACATCCATCCATCATTTATTGAAGCAGAGAAATTTAAGCACATCCCTCAGCGTTACAACTGCTATTCTTACCAGCATACCACGAAAAACAGCCCCACTAAAGACACGAAGCTCTGTGCTACCTATGGCACAGAAGGGCACGATTTCAAGTCCTGCACCTCCACCACTCCACCCAAATGCCTCAACTGCAAAAACCAACCACCATACTCTGGCAGCCAAATGTCCTACCAGACGGGAAATACTGTACTGAAAAAACAGCTAGAACAACAGCAGACAAAATACTCAAGCAACATCATATGCTGACATCACCAAGACCCAGTCAGACAGCCATAATCCGCCAGGCCACTACCTCCACCACGACCGCATCTCCACCACTACCTGTGGGTGACTACCAAAATCCTATACTGCATCATGTATGCCCATATACACAATGTTACAGTTCCAGGCTCCTTCAACACCACGATCAACTAACTCTTCAAACTCCACAACATGCCCACCTTATTCCCTGCATCACCACCTTCAAGTGACATCGTGAAGTCCACTACTGACATTATCAACATCACCTCTGCTGCTGCTCCACCACCACCAGCCACTCAAGTGATTGACCAATCAGAGACCACCGAACCACAGCAGAATCCCACCAATGAGAGCCTTCCTCAAGCCTCTCCTTCTACCATCACGACCAACCAAGATCCAACCCTTCCTCCACCATCCACTCAACCCTCGCCTTCACCTTACTCCACTCCACGATCCAAAGCACTATCTGTTAAACACAAAGGACTCACGTTCTACACCACGTCACAATACCCCAGAGAAATGACTCGCCAAGAACTCATCAAATGTCTCCAGGACAACACAGCAAAGTACACCAGTCACAAAAAACCATTCCCTACCGTCAACCAGATAATCGACCAACTCAGCAGCTACACACGCTTCTACGAAGCTCCCATACCTGTGGTACACCTCTCCAGAACAAGATTCAATACAATGCACAGCAGAACAAGTGAATAACCATCCACCAGCACTTTGCTATTCAGCTAAAGCTGGGGTGTGGCTCCAAAACGACCCTGTTTTCCTGGGCACCACCAGCCATCTCCTGCCAGGCATCTGAGTACCAGCTCTACTTTATTGACACTGCTGCCACCAGCACATCTCGCTCCAACACAACCTCCTGCAGTACTTCTGCACAGCACGCTCCTGAGTGGACGGGCCACTCACCTCTGCAACCCCACCTCCTACTCTACCCTCCCAACCTCTTCCATTTTTTCAGCCCTCCCCTCCCTCTTCCTTCCCATCCTCACCAACCCTCAGGTCAGAGAACTTCGAACTTCAAAGCCAAATTTTAAATTACTTTTGGTCCTGAAATCAAAATCTCCTTTTTAAGTAGTAAGTTTTCCATTCTATCAAATAATACCAAGAAACAGCCAATAAAACTTTAAAAGTGAGAAAACACCTCAGTTGCTACTAAAAAAAAAAAAAGCCAGTTTTGCTTTACCCATCAAGCAGTAGGTGGGGGAGGATGTTTTTCATACAATGTACACTCATCATACAGACCCATTCAATCATATCTAGGCCAAAATCTACCGCTCACAGTATCAGTGGGAGCACTCAAAGGATTTAAAACCCGTTGCTCAATTACAATACCCATTATGGTCACTAACAAACAAAAATTAATATTTAGATAAGTCAATATTGTACTTACTATGATTTAATACCTCAAATCCTTTGTTTCCAGGAATTTTCTTGAGATTCAGCTTTTCCCAACTTTCAAGATGAGGACTGAAATAAATCTGAAAAATTATTTTTTATAATAAATAGACTGGAGGCTTTATTATTTGTGTTATTTATCTTTACTGTATACAGGTTGGCCATCACTAATCCTGCATCATTGGGACCTGTAGTGTGCCGGATTAATGTTTGCCAGACTGGAGTGATTAGGTTCGAATACACTTAATTAACCTATCAATGGAGACTTTCTGCTACATCTTCCTCATTTTCATCACTGCTTTCTCCCCCACTGGCTTGTTGCTGTGGATTTACAACCATCTGCACAATTTCTGAGTTGGTATAATGAAATTTGATTCAGTATAATGATGAAACTTAAAATTATGCTAGCCGAAATTAATGCCAGATTACTGATGGAACCAGATAACTTATTACTGGATTAGTGATGGTCAACCTGTATTTAATTTTCTTACTTGCATAAACAATAATTACTAATTTATAAAGCTTTGAACCTTTAGCAATTGCCAATTAGTATATCACTGCATGCAAGTACAGTACGTGGTTTTATGAAACTAGTGAATGGTTCTTGGCATGTCAGCTTAATTGCAATTGCTGTTATGCAGTTACAAAATGTTATATTACCAGCGTGTAGGAAACCTACACATTAAAATACTAAATATGTACTATAGTGAACTATTAACAACTTGAAGTTTTGTATGCTCCTTCAGTCTCCATTTTCAGAGCAAGAAGAGTGTGATTCAAGTCCTCCCTTGCAGTGTTTACTAATGATTATTCAAGTTCTGTATTTTTTTTGGCACACACCAGTTTATCAACAACATTGTCATGTTGGTTATTAGGTGACCGAGAACTGATTGTTATTCTAGGTGGGGCTGACACGAACACTTAACTTAGGCCAATCGCATAGGGCTATCCAAGGCTTGAATGGGTTCCCATGCAAATTATACTCTCACATAACCTTGTGTTCACCAAATACGTATAACGGCTCAATATGTACTATATTTAATCTATCCATCCCCCACCTGCCAACATTTTTAATATTGTAAAAGTACACATTAAAATCCCTGTATACATTTCTGCAGTTCTACCATGACTGAAAACCAGGTCCTGTTTTTTTTTTTTTTTTTTTTTTCAACAAGTCGGCGTCTCCCACCGGAGGCAGGTGACCCGAAAAGAAAGACAATCCCCAAAAAGAAAATACTTTCATCCTCATACAACACATACCATCACCAGCACTCGCACATTGTATCAAAGTTTTTTGGCAGAGGTGCTCAGAATACAACATATCTAGAAGCATAAACATATAAGATACACACAAAATCCCTCCAACTGCCCATACCCAAAACCCCTCCTTTAAAGTGCAGGCATTGTACTTCCCATTTCCAGGACTCAATCCGACTATATGAAAATTAACCGGTTTCCCAGAATCCCTTCACTAAATATTCCCCTGCCTCACCTCCACAGATCGTCAGGTCCCAAGTACCATTCGTCTCATTCACTCCTATCTAACACTCTCACCGCACGCTTGCTTGGAAGTCCAAGCCCCTTACCTCAAAACCTCCTTTACCCCCTCCTCTCCAACCCTTTCGAGACGACCCCTACCCCGCCTTCCTTCCCCTATAGAAGTTATATGCTATCCATGTCATTCTTCTGTGGATCCGTTCTCTTCTAATGACAAACCACCTCAACACCCCTCGTCTGCCCTCTGACTAGAATGACTGTTATTACTCCACACCTTGCTCCTATTATTCCACACTCCGAATTTTTCTGCTAATAATTACACCACACATTGCCCTTAAACAGACATCCCGCTGCCTCCAACCGTCTCCTCGCTGCTGTGCATTTTACCACCCAAGCTTCACACCCATATCAGAGTGTTTGGAATCTACTATACTTTCTTACATTCCCTTCTTTGCCTCCATAGATAACGTTTTTTGACCTCCACATATACCTCAACGCACCACTCACCTTTTTTCCCTCATCAATTCTATGATTAACCTCATCCTTCATAAATCCATCCGCCGACACGTCAACTCCCAAGTATCTGAAAACATTCACTTCTTCCATACTCCTCCTCCCCAATTTGATATCCAATTTTTCTTTATCTAAATCATTTGACACCCTCATCACCTTACTCTTTTCTATGTTCACTTTCAACTTTCTACCTTTACACACATTCCCAAACTCATCCACTAACCTTTGCAATTTTTCTTTAGAATCTCCCATAAGCACAGTATCATCAGCAAAAAGTAACTGTGTCAATTCCCATTTGAATTTGATTCCCCATAATTTAATCCCACCCTCTCCCAAACACCCTAGCATTTACTTCCTTTACAACCCCATCTATAAATATATTAAACAACCATGGTGACATTACACATCCCTGTCTAAGACCTACTTTTACCGGGAAGTAGTCTCCCTCTCTTCTACACACCCTAACCTGAGCCTCACTATCCTCATAAAAACTCTTTACAGCATTTAATAACTTACCACCTATTCCATATACTTGCAACATCTGCCACATTGTTCCTCTATCCACTCTATCATATGCCTTTTCTAAATCCATAAATGCAATAAAAACTTCCCTATCTTTATCTAATATACTGTTCACATATATGCTTCAATGTAAACACCTGATCTACACATCCCCTACCCACTCTAAAACCTCCTTGCTCATCCGCAATCCTACATTCTGTCTTACCTCTAATTCTTTCAATTATAACCCTACCGTACACTTTTCCTGGTATACTCAGTAAGCTTATTCCTCTATAATTTTTACAGTCTCTTTTGTCCCCTTTCCCTTTATATAAAGGGACTATACATGCTCTCTGCCAATCCCTAGGTACCTTCCCCTCTTTCATACATTTATTAAACAAAAGTACCAACCACTCCAACACTATATCCCCCCCTGCTTTTAACATTTCTGTCATGATCCCATCAGTTCCAGCTGCTTTACCCCCTTTCATTTTACGTAATGCCTCACGTACCTCCCCCACACTTACATTCTGCTCTTCTTCACTCCTAAAAGATGGTAAAACCTCCCTGACCAGTGCATGAAATTACTGCCTCTGTTCTTCCTTAACATTTAAAGTTCCTCAAAATATTCTCGCCATCTACCCAATACCTCCATCTCCCCATCTACTAACTCCCCTACTCTGTTTTTAACTGACAAATCCATATTTTCCCTAGGCTTTCTTAACTTGTTTAACTCACTCCAAAATTTTTTCTTATTTTCATTAAAATTTCTTGACAGTGCCTCTCCCACTCTATCATCTGCTCTCCTTTTGCACTCTCTCACCACTCTCTTTACCTTTCTTTTACTCTCCATATACTCTGCTCTTCTTATAAACACTTCTGCTTTGTAAAAACCTCTCATAAGCTACCTTTTTCTCTTTTATCACACCCTTTACTTCATCATTCCACCAATCACTCCTCTTTCCTCCTGCCCCCCCTCCTATAACCACAAACTTCTGCCCCACATTCTAATACTGCATTTTTAAAACTATTCCAACCCTCTTCAACCCCCCCACTACTCATCTTTGCACTAGCCACCTTTCTGCCAATAGTCGCTTATATCTCACCGAACTTCCTCCTCCCTTAGTTTATACACTTTCACCTCCCTCTTACTTGTTGTTGCCACCTTCCTCTTTTCCCATCTACCTCTTACTCTAACTGTAGCTACAACTAAATAATGATCCGATATATCAGTTGCCCCTCTATAAACATGTACATCCTGGAGCCTACCCATCAACCTTTTATCCACCAATACATAATCTAATAAACTACTTTCATTACGTGCTACATCATACCTTGTATATTTATTTATCCTCTTTTTCATAAAATATGTATTACTTATTACCAAATTTCTTTCTACACATAGCTCAATTAAAGGCTCCCCATTTACATTTACCCCTGGCACCCCAAATTTACCTACTACTCCCTCCATAACATTTTTACCCACTTTAGCATTAAAATCCCCAACCACCATTACTCTCACACTTGATTCAAAACTCCCCACGCATTCACTCAACATTTCCCAAATCTCTCTCTCTCCTCTACACTTCTCTCTTCTCCAGGTGCATACACGCTTATTATAACCCACTTTTCACATCCAATCTTTATTTTACTCCACATAATCCTTGAATTAATACATTTATAGTCCCTCTTTTCCTGCCATAGCTTATCCTTCAACATTATTGCTACTCCTTCTTTAGCTCTAACTCTATTTGAAACCCTGACCTAAAACCCATTTATTCCTCTCCACTGAAACTCTCCCACCCCCTTCAGCTTTGTTTCACTTAAAGCCAGGACATCCAGCTTCTTCTCATTCATAACATCCACAATCATCTCTTTCTTATCATCTGCACAACATCCACGCACATTCAGACTTCCCACTTTGACAATTTTCTTCTTCTTATTCTTTTTAGTAATCTTTACAGGAAAAGGGGTTACTAGCCCATTGTTCCCGGCATTTTAGTTGACTTTTACAACACGCATGGCTTACGGAGGAAAGATTCTTATTCCACTTCCCCATGGATATAAAAGGAAAATTAATAAGACCAAGAACTATTAAGATAAAATCAAAGAAAACTCAGATGAGTGTGTATAAATAAATGTGTACATGTATGTGTAGTGTGACCTAAGTGTAAGTAGAAGTAGCAAGACATGCCTGTAATCTTGCATATTTATGAGACAGACAAAAGACATCAGCAATCCTACCATCATGTAAAACAATCACAGGCTTCGTTTTACACTCACTTGGCAGGACGGTAGTACCTCCCTGGGTGGTTGCTGTCTACCAACCTACTACAACCTACTACTGTTAACAGTTGTAATTTAGTGTAATTTATTTGTAACTGACCAATTCATTTCCAACTTGTGATTGTAATGAATTACCCAAGCTATATCAATTTAAATTTTAGTATAGGATATACTGAAGGCACTGAATCCGCACTGTGGAAAGGCATAGAATTTGAGGAAATATGACTGAGGTGTATAAATGGAAGACTGGATTAAAGGAGATATAAATAATGTGCTGAAAAATATCTAATCAGAACAGGACTCGCAGAAATGGGTCTGTTGGAAAAATTTAGATTTACAAAAGATACAAGAAAACACTGGTTTGATAATAAAGGTTGTGGATAAAAGGAACAAACTCCAGAGTAGCTTCATTAAAGCAAATACCTTGCGTAGCTTTAAGAATAGCTCAGACAAGTACATAAGTGGATGTAGGTGGGTTTGAGTCGGACCTACCTAGCATGGGCCAGCAGACCCATGCTAGGCAAGGGCCTAGCTCATTGGCTTTTTTTGGTTAGCCTAGATAATTAACACTATATGATAATTGTACTTATGTGTACCTATGTCTAAATAAACTTATTAACCTTAGTCCACCCGTAGCTTGATCGCCAGTGCACTTAGCTCACGCACTGCTGGAAATATTAGGGCATTTTCCTAAAGACACCTGCTGTCCATGTTCACCTATCAGTAAAGTAGGTACCTGGATGTTAGTCGACTGGTGTGGGTCGCATCCTGGGTCAAAATTGACCTAATTTGCCCGAAATGCTCTGCATAACAAGAGACTCTACATAGCTGCACGTCAATGACGTCAGCTAGGCCTGTATACCTTGTACATGTAGAAATAAACATTATGATTATTGTAAAGTAAAAAGGACACAAGTGCAACCAACGTGACATTTTACTGTGGCAACGTTTTGCTCTCTAGGAGCTTTGTCAAGCCGTTACGGCTTGACAAAGCTCCTGGAGAGCAAAACGTTGCCACAATAAAATGTCACATTACATGCACTTGTGTCTTTTTACTTTACATATTGTTGGTAATTCTACCAACATATATATTATGATTATTATTGTTATTATCAGTACAAGCCCATTTTTTTTTTTTTAACACTACTCGAAATTAAGCGTTGTTTGGCCCATTCATCAGAACCAAAATATATGCAACATTTCCGCTAATACGTCCCTAAATAACAATCTGCACAAAAAAATTATTAGGCACTGTGGTGCACATAGGTTGATGTATTGTAAATTGTGACTAATGTCAGAGTTCTGCAGAGTATAAGTCGGTAATTTTGCACTAAAGTTTTACAATGATCTTATAGGCTGACATGTTCTGGGTACATAAAACTGTATATTATAGTACATTATGAATATCTAAAGAAATCCAGAGGTCAATGATAATTTTTTCCATGGGGTCCTTTGAGAATCAATTAAGACTGTTAGCACATACCACCCTGTCCTTCCCTGGCTCACCTTGTTACAGTTTCTGTAACACCTGAAGTACACACTCACCTCACCCTAAATCAACTCCTTGCAACTAGCAGAGAAATTTAACATATTATGTGCCGGGGGAAGGGCGAAGTTTTAAACTGCGATTCAAGTACACTGATGCATCCCTCTGTAATTCTCCATATATTGCTTGTTACAAAATTATTATACCTTACAACAATAACAACAAGTCCAAGGAATATGTAGGCTAAGAATCTAGAGAAATTTCTTGTTTTTTTACCTGAAATATGAGAGGAGAGAGTAAGATGTGACCAGCTAGTGGCAGCGTCTCCTTCAATGGCGTCCACGACGCTCACACATATTCATTTACCGCCAAAAACTTCACAATTCTTGTATTTCTTTAGGTAAGCAAACTTTATCCAGGCAAAATATAAATATATATTTAAATTTTATGTTTTAATTGACTATAATATTTTCGTTGTGGACGGGATTATTATACGTAAAGTGATTATAAATTTTGAAAATTTAACTCAACCAAGCAAAATAAATGTTTTGTTTTATTACGTTCAATTTTCTTTCTGATGAATTTTAAAATAATTTCATAAATGCCCAAGAAATTAGGATTAAATAAAACAGTTTCACAGCTACATTGTCACTTGTTAGCAATTTAAGCAATATCATGTAATATTGTTAGAATCCATCTGAAACTGTACTCATTATCTCAAAGATTTTTGTAAAAATTGGTCTATCATTTTGACCTAGCTTTTAAACTGTATTAATTTTACCCCAAAAAAAAAGGGCCCATCTAGTACCCACCCCAAAATTTTGTCTTTTTTTTTTATATTTTATTTAAAACCATACACAAACATGAGTCACAAGAAAATTCAAACAAATATATTACACTGAATGAAAATCCTGACATCGGATATTGAAACAATACCTATTACCATTACATTGTTAACATTATAACAACTATAACCAATACTATATCTGATGCCGAAGCTTAAACTGTCCTAAACTAGATTTTTTGATACATGTGTATAAGTTAACAATAGTAAAAATGCAACCTAATTCTTCATCAAATTAAGCATTCTATCTCTTAATTAGCCCGGAAGTGATATATGTACAGTACAATTATCCTTCATTATTTTTTTTTCCTTTTTCCTTCTACTCTGAACACAAGAAAGGAATATAGAATAAGAATGGACCTACATAAATTTAGAAACCTCGTATACAAACCACTACACTAATCAGCACAGGTCTATTGATACATCCCTCTCTTTATGAGAATACGTTCAATTTTTTTCTAACAAATTGCTTGCCATAAAAACATTGAACCACCTTGTTATAATAAATAGTCTTGTAATGTCAAGAAGCATTACACCATTATCATAAGTTTTACCATCTACCTAAGCCTAGTATTCCTACTACAATATGATTATCGTAACAAACCATAAATTTACCAAAAACCCACTAACTATTCTAAATCTTGATGTACATATTTACAACGAATAAAAAACAATAAAAAGGAAATCCCACTCTTCTCATTCTAAATATTTCTGACTGTCAGTTGAACATTAAAATGGTATAAAATACCGACAGGTTGTTAGGTAAGACACATATGCAACATGTGCAAAGAAAGGTATAAAATACCGACAATATGAAAGTTAAGACACATGTGCAACATCTGGATATCTTTATTGTAGTAGACGTTTCGCCATCCAGTGGCTTTATCAATACAGATTCTAGGACATAATAGGAAGACAGTAGAACTATATACAAAAGATGAGGTAATCAGTCCCTCGGCCTTGGAGTTAGTGTTCACAGCATCGTGGTGGAGGAGAGTCTGGAGCAAAGGCAAGAAGACTGGCGCTTTTTATAGGCGTCAGTGAATGGGACGGGCAGCAGACGAGGTCAGTCACTGGTAGGCGGGATTCCCCAGTGGAAGTAGGTCCTTCCCAAAAAGAAAGGGTTAGTTGCAGCAGCCCTGAAGAAGGTCTTGTAGATGTCCTCTGAACCAAGATTCCATGATGTTGCAGTGTCTGACAAGTTGTGCAAAGAAAGGTATAAAATACCGACAATATGAAAGTTAAGACACATGTGCAAATCTGGATATCTTTATTGTAGTAGACGTTTCGCCATCCAGTGGCTTTATCAATACAGATTCTAGGGCTAATAGGGAAAACAGTAGAACTATATACAAAAGATGAGGAATCAGTCCCTCGGGCCTTGGAGTTAGTGTTCACAGCATCGTGGTGGAGGAGAGTCTGGAGCAAAGGCAAGAGACTGGGGGCTTTTTATAGGCGTCAGTGAATGGGGCGGGCAGCAGACGAGGTCAGTCCACTGGTAGGCGGGATTCCCCAGTGGAATAGGTCCTTCCCAAAGAGATGGGTTAGTTGCAGCAGCCGTGAAGAAGGTCTTGTAGATGTCCTCTGAACCAAGATTCCATGATGTTGCAGTGTCTGACAAGTTGTGCAAAGAAAGGTATAAAATACCGACAATATGAAAGTTAAGACACATGTGCAACATCTGGATATCTTTATTGTAGTAGACGTTTCGCCATCCAGTGGCTTTATCAATACAGATTCTAGGACATAATAGGAAGACAGTAGAACTATATACAAAAGGATGAGGTAATCAGTCCCTCGGCCTTGGAGTTAGTGTTCACAGCACGTGGTGGAGGAGAGTCTGGAGCAAAGGCAAGAAGACTGGCGCTTTTTATAGGCGTTTAGTGAATGGGACGGGCAAACAGACGAGGTCAGTCACTGGTAGGCGGGATTTCCCAGTGGAAGTAGGTCCTTCCCAAAGAGATGGGGTTTGTTGCAGCAGCCGTGAAGAAAAGGGCTTGTAGATGTCCTCTGAACCAAGATTCCATGATGTGCAGTGTCTGACAAGTTGTTCAAAGAAAGGTATAAAATACGAACAATATGAAAGTTAAGACACATGTGCAACCCTTTTGGATATCTTTATTGTATAGGACGTTTCGCCATCCAGTGGCTTTATCAATACAGATTTTAGGACTAATAGGAAGACGTGAATATATACAAAAGATGAGGTAATCAGTCCCTTGCCTTGGAGTTAGTGTTCACAGCATCGTGGTGGAGGGAGTCTGGAGCAAAGGCAAAAGCTGGCGTTTTTATAGGCTCAGTTTAATGGACGGGCACAGACGAGGTTCAGTCACTGGTAGGCGGGATTCCCAGTGGGAAGTAGGTCCTTCCCAAAGAGATGGGTTAGTTGCAGCACCCGGGAAAAAGGTCTTGTGATGTCCTCTGAACCAAGATTCCATGTGTTGAGTGTTGACAAATTTGCAAAGAAAGGTATAAAAACCCACAATATGAAAGTTAAACCGTGAGGACCCCCTCTCTGCCCTCCCATTCACTGCGCCCTTTAAAAAAAGCCCGTCTTCTTGCCTTTTCTCAAAAACTCTCCTCCCCCCACGTGCGTGAACACAACTCCAAGGCCGAGGGGCTGATTACCTCATCTTTTGTAGTTCACTGTCTTCCCCATTAGTCCTAGAATCTTATTGATAAAGCCCGGGTGGCGAAACGTCTACTAAATAAAGATTCCAGATGTTGGGAAGTGTCTTAACTTTCATATTGTCGGTATTTATACCTTTTTTTGCACAAATTGTCAGACACTGCAACATCATGGAATCTTGGTTCAGAGGACATCTACAAGACCTTCTTCACGGCTGCTGCAACTAACCCATCTCTTTGGGAAGGACCTACTTCCACTGGGGAATCCGCCTACCATGACTGACCTCGTCTGCTGCCCGTCCCATTCACTGACGCCTATAAAAAGCGCCAGTCTTCTTGCCTTTGCTCCAGACTCTCCTCCACCACGATGCTGTGAACACTAACTCCAAGGCCGAGGGACTGATTACCTCATCTTTTGTAATAGTTCTACTGTCTTCCTATTATGTCCTAGAATCTGTATTGATAAAGCCACTGGATGGCGAAACGCTCTACTACAATAAAGATATCCAGATGTTGCACATGTGTCTTAACTTTCATATTGTCGGTATATTATAACCTTTCTTTGCACAACTTGTCAGACACTGCAACATCATGGAATCTTGGTTCAGAGGACATCTACAAGACCTTCTTCACGGCGCTGCAACTAACCCATCTCTTGGGAAGGACCTACTTCCACTGGGGAATCCCGCCTACCATGACTGACCTCGTCTGCTGCCCGTCCCATTCACTGACGCCTATAAAAAGCGCCAGTCTTCTTGCCTTGCTCCAAAACTCTCCTCCACCACGATGCTGTGAACACTAACCCAAGGCCGAGGACGATTACCTCATCTTTTGTATATAGTTCTACTGTCTTCCTATTTGTCCTAGAATCTGTTTTTGATAAAGCCACTGGATGGCGAAACGTCTACTACAATAAAGAATCCAGATGTTGCACATGTGTCTTAACTTCAATTGCCGGTATTTTTCCTTTTTTGAAATTG